ATAGTGAGTGAGTGAAAAACAGAGCAAAGTGTTGTGCGAGTATGCATGCTAAATTTAATGCTAGTTATTAGAAATAATAGGAAAGGTAATAATGAGTAGACACCTAATTTTAAGTTTTCATTAGTAATTTAAGTTAGAAACAAATTGATAATTGGTCTTACTGACCAGATTTTAATGTAAGTACACTTCAGTGTCTTTAGTAAAAAAAATTAATTTTAAGTATGTTTAAAATCGAATAAAGTAATTTTTTCTTTATTTATTATATTTTTATACGGAAAAGTTTACTTTTTACACTCACTACGAACCACGAACCGCTATTATACTTCTTGGTACTACTTCTACGACGATCGCCTCAGCAGTTTACTACAAAGCAAAAAGTATGACAACACCAGTATAGAAATTTCAAAAATAATATTAAAGAATTACCTTAAACCGCTGTTAGTTTTAAGTTAGATTCAAGACGTATCTGTAGTGGAAGTAGAGCCAGTTATACAGTATTTCCTGACCCTACTTGTGTGATGGTTACCTCAGCATTTTACTAAAGAAAAAATATAGTACAACGCCAGTATAGAAGCTTCGCTTCAATAACATAAAAACTTTATGAGAGTGAGTTAGACGCAGTTTTGAGCTCCTACGCAGCGTGCAAATGATAAACAAAGGAGGTTCAGACTCTACCCATAAATTATGCAATATACCTTTTGAAGAATTTTTATGATTTGAATTGTTTATCTCCTCTATTTGATATATAATCATACAAGTATAATTTACTTATTGCACCTTTGTTGATAAAATCATATAATAGGAATATTATTATTTTAAAACTCTATTTTTCTACCCAATAATATTGAAACAAATCAAATTATATGTCAAAAAATTTACAAAATTGTTAGATTCCCAAAAACACCGAAAAAGAGTTGTTGGATCCAAATAATATTTGAAGAAAATCGACATTATACAATATAATATAAAATTTCCGAAAATACCTGAATATGCTCCCTCAGCGGACCATAATTGGGTATTTCAGTTTATTTAACATATTTTGGGAGGACACAGGATTTTTCACAGATATTTTACGTATTAAAATTATTTTTATTTAGGTTCTACTATCATTTTTATTGTTCAACAAGTTTAACGTATTCTTCAACCATGCTATTAGCATATAACGCCGAAAGCTTATAATTTGATGAATATTTTTTTCTATTTTTTTGAAAATCTAGATAGGTTAGTTTGTATTAATTACTATTTAACTGGGAATAAGCCACAATTAAAGATAAAAATACGTTTATTGACGTTTCAATTTCCACTTCGGAAATCGTTCTGAAAATACAAACAGTAAATTACAATAATAAACAATTTACTGTTTGTATTTTGAGAACGATTTCCGAAGTGGAAATTGAAACGTCAATAAACGTATTTTTATCTTTAATTGTGGCTTATTCCCAGTTAAATAGTAATTAATTAACATGCCACAAGAAAATAGCTTCAGAACAATATTAAGGTTAGTTTGTAAGTAATTAATTAATAAATTGATTTCTCCTTTATGTAAATAATCAGCTTCAATACAATACTAAAGCGATTTCTGCTGACAGACATTGACAGTCATGATTTATTCTTCTTTTTTCTTTGACGATTGTCTTCTAAATTAATTTTATTATAACTAACAGATAGCACTTTACTTTTCTTAGTTACCTGCTGAAAAAAATATATTCCAAATGAACAGCTTATTCTATAAAAAAGTACATCGGAGGTAAACATAGCAGAACTCAAATGACGAACGAGATCGACTTTATGATCACTGACAAGAGACCAATCTTAAAAGATGTTACAGTCCTAAAGCAGTTTTTAACAGGTAATGATCACAGAGGGAGACACCTTGGGAATAAATATAAACACAAAAAAAACAAAAAATAATGGCTGTTGCACGTGCACCAAATGTCGACATTAATATTCGTATTTATAACAAACATATAGAACCAGTACAAATATTCCAGGATCTTGGTTGCTAGATAACAAACGATCTTGACCACGAGGTCGAAATACGTGCTCGTATAGAATATGCTAGGTCCGCATTTCAACGAATGAAAAAAATCCTAATAAACTCTACGTTAATGTTGGATATCCGATACCAATGTGTAAAAACGTTTATTTATTTCATATTGCTATAAGGAGTGGAAACATGGACTCTAAGAGTTACAAGTATGAGGCGTATAGAAGCATTTGGGATGTGGGTTTTTCGAAGGATGCTGAAGATCGCTTGGACAGAGCACGTGACCAACAACGAGGTGCTAAGAAGAATGGGTACTGAGAGAGAACTCCTAAATACTGTAAAAATCAGAAAAACGAGTTATCTAGGACATAATTACAGAGGAGAAAAATACTACTTCCTACGACTTTTAATGGAAGGGAAAGTGGAAGAAAGGAAGAAGAAAATGCTCCGGGTTGAAGAATGTAAGAGACTGGACAGGTATGGACACACATTCGATACTAAGAACAGCTCAAGATAGAGAGCAATTTGCTGTAGTTATAGCCAACCTTCAGTAATGGAGAAGACACCTTAAGAAGAAGCTACCACAGAATGGTGAAAGCGTCATTAGAAAAAGACTTTGGGAAAGAAAGATATTGCATTATCAATAGGAAATCTAGACATACCTGAACAGGGCCTAATAATATAATAAAACTTTTGAAGAATTAATAGCATTCTCGAAAGCAATAACAATACAGACACAAATAACACCTTGAATGACATAATAATAAAAGCTATAGAGGAAAACCAGAAGATACACTGTTAAAAGAAACAAAAGCATTAATGGAAGAGATGAAAAAAATGCAAAGTAATAGAAGCAAAGAACATCATGAACTTAAAGAGATAAGTAACAGAATACAAAAATTTATTAGGATGGACAACCGTAAGCATAAAAGTAAACAACTTAAACAAACAATTGGAAAAAAAACAAGATTTTCAAAGTTCTCAGGTGAAAATTGAAAATTGATAAAAAGAAATAATGGAATAGAATAAAGTTGGAAATAGCATCACCAATAAAGATGAATTACTAAGGGTAGTAGAAGATTTAGAGAAATATACAAAAGTCAACAACACCATGATGAGCAGCTAACAGAAAAGTTAGAAAACTTAGGACAAAGATTAGTCAATCAAGGATCGGAATTGATGCCTGATATATCAACAACAGACAAAATAAGGAAGGCGCTGAAGAAAATAAAAAGAAGTAAAGCGCCAGTAGAATGTAATATCGTTATAGAAGCCGCAAAGATTGGAGGAGACAGAATTTTAGAGAATATAAAGGAATTATTCTACTTATGTCTACACCAAAGTGAAACACTTACAAAATGGCACAGTGTACTTGCCATTTTATTACACAAAAAGGACGATCCAACAGACCTCGAGAATTACCCACCTATAAGCCTGTTAAACCACCTCTAAGTTATTCACAAGAATATTAACAAAGACTGAAAACAAAATTTGATTTTTACCAACCTAGGGACCAGGCAGGTTTTAGGAAAAACTTTGGCATCAACAACCACATCCACTGCGTAAAAGGTATTATAGAATAATCCATTGTTGAATACAACCCAGCATTGGTTGTAGCTTTCGTAAACTTTCGCAAAGTATTCGATTCGATAGAAATAAATAGCGTAATAAGAAGATTGGAAAAAGTTGGATAGATTATCGGTACTCCAAACTGTTCGCAAATATATACAACAATGCAACCATTACCGTAAGACTACACAAATATACAAAATGTATGAAAGATAAAAGAGGAATCAGTTAAGGAGACACGTTATCTCTCAAACTCTTTACATCAGTCTGGAACATGCTTTCAAAAAATTAGAGTGAGACACCAAAGATATCAATGTCGATGGCGACATGCTCCCTTATCTACGATTTGCGGACGACATTGTTTTGATATAAGATATCTTTAAATGAGATTGGAACTGTGCTTATTGAGTTAGATGGCGCTTATGACGAAGTTGGTTTGTACATAAATTTTGGATAGACACAATACATGACAAATCTGGTACCAAGCAAAAATCCAAAATATAAATACTTAGATCATGAAATTCAAATTGTAAGGGACAACCAAACTTCTGAACTGCAAAGATTATTCACTTTAGCATGGGCCAACGTTCGATGTTCGACCAATGTGTGCTTCCATTTATGACTTACGGAACTCTCGCTACTTGGACTGATTCTCAGAGACAGAGTTACAAACGAGGAAATAAGAAGGACCGGCGTCACAGATATCAGAGAGCCTATAGAATAGCTGAAGTGTAACTGGGTGACCATGTGGTCAGAATGAATTACGGGTGGTGAATCCAAAAAATTACAGTGTGAAGACCACGAGCTGATAGAAAAAGCAGAGGTAGACCAGCTACACGATAGACAAACGAGATCAAAAGATTCGCTGATAATAGATATAATAGATATAATAGATATAATAATATAGATAGCATCTTGTGTTGAATGATAATTTTCCACTAACTGTTTTCCTTACTTTTTTATTATTCTTATTTTAGATCTTACCTCCTTCATTATATAGGTACCTACACAAAATATTAACATTGTTGCTTTGTATTTGTAGTGAAGAAATCATTTATTTTTCAACCATGCCAATATTGCTGTTGTAGAAAAGGTGTTTAATAATACATAATTTATGCTAATCCATATGTAACGCTTAATAAATGTCAAATTAATATTTTTGTCAAAATATTTTCAGTGTTTTTGAGAATTTTAAAAATTTATGGTTATTATACAGGGAATTTCTTATCTCCGTGTCATATTGGAATATTAAAAAAAAATTAAACAAATGTTTAATTACGTACTATTCAAGCAAAAATATAGCAAAGAAATACCCTGTAAATAAAGCTTTTATGAAATTAAATCATCGTACTAACATATCAGTATTCACAAGAAACACATGATCTTTGAGCCGTACTTTTACATCACATCTGAATCACTAGTAGCTATAAATTTAGTTTTATATCTAGTGGGGCGGAGCTTGAGTATGGAATCCATGTAAGTCTAAACCAGCTCGTAATGCTGCATGACTAGCTAATACTCTACCGGCCAAATCACCAAGAGCTCGTTCCAACTGCTGATGCTGACTTCTAACTGCAAATCTGCAATTATTAAGAAAAATAATATAAAATAGATTAATTTCTGTCTGAGGATCAAAAATGTAATAAATACACTTTTCTAATTATCCAAGCCATTAAGCTAAATAACAAAAGGAAGAGTCAATTTAAAATTTGTAAGGACTATTTCTGCATCACGAACGATGTTTTGTTACTGCCAGTCGTCTCGAATATTATAAAAACTGTTTTTGTATAATAAAGTTACAAACCATTTAAATGACATGTTAAAGCGGCCACAATGCAGCCTACAGTCAATAATATATAAAGTATACTTTTCTCCTTTTTCTCCTTTTTTCTTTTCTCCAGAGCAAGAAAACTGCCAGAACCCCAAGCAAAAGAAAACCAAGGGAAGAAGATTCAAAGGATATGGACGACGTTATAAGTATGTTCAAGAAGATGATAAGGAACTGAAAAAATCAGGGATGAAAATAAGAAATATAGAGAAGAGATAATTGCACTGGAAAAAAATATAAAGATAAAGCAAGAATTTGAAGAAACAAAAAACAAATTAACCCAGGTTGAAAACAAAGCAGAAAGAATTGAAAAACAGATGAAAAGAAATAAGATAGTAATTACGGGTCTGCCAATAGTCGCAATTGATGAAACACTCTTAAAATATAACACAAAACCACCTAAAAGATGATGTCGAAATAGAATCTGCAATGAAGCTAAAAAACAATAATATGTGTTTGGTACAAATGAAGGATTATGGCGAAAAAATTAACTGAAATTAGGTAGTATTCTCAGACAGGTGTCGGTAAAGAAAAGGATTTGTATTTTGTGTATGTATATTAAGTTTTTAATTAGTGCTCTTTTTTGACCGACTCTCGCACAGTTGACTGTCCCTATTACACAGTCAAATGTGATGGTTTATTGGAGGGGACAAAGGTCATTTCGACCTTGTTGTTTCTAGCGGTGGGCACTATCGATTACCCAAACATTTTGCTTGATAGATCGGAATAATACTTGGCTATGGTTTCCCTTCTATCTAGCAGAATTTTCATCAGCAGAGTGGTTGTGAATTGAATCGACAACCTGACATCTGCTGTGAGGGTTGCTGGTGGAATCCTTCACTCAGCTATAAGAGGCTTTGCCTCTTAGTGTGAGGAAGGGGTGTCCTGCCTTTTTGGACAGCGTGGTGACCATGCTGCATGTGTGCCTTTGTAATTAGGGCGCTTAGGGTTCTTAATCTAGGGGCAATCTGCGCTCTTGTGCTCGCCACTACCGCAATTAGGGCAAGTCTATCTCTTTTGGCACTCGGAAATTTCGTGTCCGTTTTAGCAGGAGCGGCTGCAATATTTAGCGGACGGGCGGATGATACTTGGGTTGAGAGGAGCCTCACAGGGTTTGATTAAGCCGTCTATGCAGATGCCGTTCATCAGAACATCTGTGTAGTACTCCTCCGAGTCTAGGAACATACGAACGAGCCTAGTGGTTTTGTTATATTTCTTGGAGGTGATGTGATGGTGTGACATAAAAGGAAAGTCTATCTCTTTTAAGCTTATAGCTAGTTCCTCAGTGGAAATAGATGGGTCAACGTCAGTTACGACAAGGTAAAAAGGTGACTGTTTATCTGGTATGGAGCGAGAAATTGTTTGACGGGAGCTTTTCGGCTTGATAGTGATAGCTAGATCGCCAGTCCGATTCTGTGATTCCTTGGACATATCCTTTACGTTCAACATTTTGGAGGTCTCCAGATATTCCAGGCGGTCCTTAGGGACCAATTTGAGGTTTATCATCACACCCTTGAAAAGTTCTTGGGTGTTGACGAGTTGAAATAGCTTACGCTGCGTATCGTATGCATTTGGAACGTTCAGAGCCTTGTAGGTGATACATTGCTGCTGTTTCACCTGGCTCTCCAAACTGGCGGTAGTTTTTGAGGCATTAGTGGCCTCGATTTTTCCTTGGCGGAGAGGGGGCACGTGAGATAGAAGGCACCTCGTCAGTAGCAGCGACTGTTACCCTTTTTTGGGTTTAGCGGCAGTGGTGGCTGGATTGGTGGCTAACTTTAGTAGCTAAAGTTGTAGTATCTAGTTTTCTTAGTTCTCTTCGATCTGGAGTGAGTCCGAGGTCTCGAAGTAGGATGAGTGGCTGGTGGATCATTGATGTCAGAATCGCTGGAATTTTGTTCAGCGATGGTTGGCAGAGGAGGAAAGTCCTCATATTTGCTATCAGAGTCGTAGTCTGTAGCGATTGGTTTAGGATTTAAAAGTGGTTTAAAGATGTTTAAATCGGTTATGATTTTAGTGGATGCATCAGGATGACTTACGAAGGCCTCCTGGAGAATGGCAGAGAGTCTAGCTAAAAAGTTGCGATGGGATCTCCACCTTAGGTGTCTGAGTTCTTCGTGTGCCAGGGCCCGTATTTGGGAAAAAAAATTGTAAATGAGCTGATTTTTTGTCTGTATATCCTGCTAGTCGAAGACAGACTCACCGACAACAACGAGAGAATGCTAGGCACTCGTTGAACCTTCGCGAGCTAGCTAGGAACGCCTCCGAGGGACATCCAAATAAGCGGTTTAGCACTGCTTTTACAAGAACCACTACTCAAGAAGACGCTCCGTGGACGTATTCCCAAAAACATACCTTTGCATTGCCACACCTCACTGTTTGTTGATTGTAGTTGGATTTTCACCTTTATTTATTTGCTGGTGTAAAGTTCTAAGTATTATAATTCTGCCTGCGGTTCAATTTTGTGAGCCTTTATGCAATCAGTGACCCTTTTACGTTAAACATTTAAAGCAGAATCTGTGTGAATGAGGTAATGAAAGAAACAAGCAAACTCAGATTTCTTACTGGATAGGGTACAAAAAACTATCTGTGGATGGCATAAAATAGGGATGGGGCGGAAACGGTATTTGGGAACTTTGATCAATGAAATCAATGATCATACTGTAGAAATCAACAGACGAATAGAGATTGCCAGATCAGCATTTATACGAATGAAGCCACTCCTAACGTGCAAAAATCTAAATTTGGAGATCAGACTACGTACCATTCGCTGTTATATATTTTCAATATTATTATATATCATGGACTGATAGAATTACAAATAAAGAAGTACTGGAGAGGGTTGGTAAAGAAACAGAACTAATCACCACTATACAAACCACAAAACTGAAATACCTAGGCCACGTGATGAGGGGACCAAAATATGAAATTTTGAGACTGATAATACAGGGAAAGATTCAAGGAAGAAGATCTGTTGGCCGAAGGCAGAACTCATGGTTAAAGAATCTACGTGATTGGTACCAATGCAGATCGATTGATTTGTTTAGAGCAGCAAGTCCTAAAATAAAAATAGCCATTATGATTGCCAACCTCCGTTTGGAGACGGTACTCTAAGAAGAAGGAAATGGTACTTTCAAAAGAGAAAATTGTATAAATATATGCCAAAAGACGGCATATAGTAGTGTAAAAAGAAAAACATGGCCCATTATGCCGACGGACCCTAGTGATGAACAGGAAAATAAGTTTGAACATAAATAGATTAGCCTATACACGTTTTATACAAGTGGAGGCGTTACAGGAATTCTCAGAAAAAGGTGTTCGCCAAGGACACCGGTTGTCTACATTGCTATTCAATATAAGTAGTTCTAGAATAAATTGTAGGGGTTAGTGGGATAAATACGTTTACCACTATTTTATACAAAGAGTACCAATGCTTAGCATACGATGATGATGTGGTTCTCATTGCAAGAACTGAAAAAGAACTGGCAAATATAGCAAAAAGACCGATTAGAGAAAGTCTAAAATGTAACTGAAGGTTAATATTAATAAATTGTTCATATAAATCTCAAGCAAAACAGGAATAAACACCAGCGGTTTCTTTAAATTGGAGGTAGAGGATGGATCAGTTGTAGAATTCGAGAAGGTGGATGAATATATGTAATTAGGTAGTCTTAATAATCAGACATGTAAGGAAGAAACTCTAATCAACCTGAAACTGACCAAGAACAACAGGTGTGCTGGAGCCATAAATAATTAATGCCAGAGATATATCTCGTAATACAAAAATAAGAGTATACAAAACTATAATTAGACCCACAATGCTATACGCTGCCGAGACAAGACTATGAACAAAACCATACAGAACAGATTGGAAGCATGGGAAACAAATATACATCGCAGAATGTTTGGTATAAAGTAATAGAGGGAAAATGAAGAAGACGAACTAATGCAGAAGTGTACCATTTGTATGCTAACCCTAGAAGAACAGATAATTAGCAAATTAATAAAAAAAAATCAGTATGGAAAACTCACCTCCAACATCTGGTGGAACATACGAAAAATACCAACTCTTGGCTTATGGCATATATCGGAGATTGGAGAAAGCAACAAGGACGCAAAAAACTAGGTACCGGGAATCGGTGATCTACTTCAAATGGTTCAAAAAATAGTAAACTAAAGTGTTAGCGTAAGCGAGATATTTGACGAACGTAAAATTTGGAGGAGACCGCCAATACTGAGGGCAGAAATGGCAGGAGACAAAGGCTCAATTTTGGCAGTGGGATCCAAAAAAATGTGCGGCTTTAGATGTTATACTAATAGTAAAGAACGTATTTATAACTTCTGTAGTAAATGTGAAGTTAGGGGTAATATAGGGTTAAAATAAATTTCACAAGATGAACAAGAGGCAGTTTGATCAAATGAGACCAGGTGAGTTTCTAGTTTATGTTTAATTTCGACTTCAAAATAACTAGAAATATGCGTTTAAACTATTTACAGTTATAGTATCAAAACTACCATTGTGATATTCAATAAAGGATTTAGTTACACTTAAAGTGTACATCTACAAGTGTAGGAAAACTAGGAAAACAATGCGAAGTTTTAAATTCCATAAATATCAGGAAATTGAAATACTTGGGGCACATCATGAGAGGTGAAAAGTACGAACTACTAAGGAATATAATGCAGGGTAAAATCAAAGGTAGAAGAAGCGTAGGAAGACGTAAAATCTCGTGGCTACGCAATCTCCGTGAATGGTTTGGATGCATTTCAGTTGAACTATTCAGGCAAGTAACCAATAAAATTATAATTGACAGAATGATTTCCGATCTTCGATAGGAGTGGACTAATGCCGAGGTCAAACAAATGTATAGTGCTAGCGACGTAGTCCAAGAGATTAAATCCCAACGTCTAAGATGGGCTGGCCATGTTCATAGGCTCCCTAATAACCGCCTTATTAAGTTAATCTGGGAAGAAGTCCTAACAGGGAGAAGGCCCTTAGGACGTCCACAAATGCGATGGAGAGATAATATATGGTCAGATTTGAGAACAATGGGGCTACCCACTGACTTAAACATCATGGACGACCGTTCGAGATCGAAGCAGGTTGTGCAGTCAGCCAAGACCCACCCCGGGTTGTAGTGCTACTAGAAGAAGAAGAAGATAGGAGTGGAATTTGAAAAAGATGAAAGTGTACATTGCACAACAATCTGCTAAAACAGATGTATAAAATGTCAATAGTGATGACGATTAGTAGTTAAAATTTCCAGTAAGAAATTGATTGTTATGTTTTATGTAACAGATGCTACATTTTACGTCTTTTATATTAGTACTTATTCTGATAGGGATTGCTGTTTGTGGAAGCTAATACTTATAAATAGATACTTAAACCAGACAGAAAACCATATAATATAGCAAAAATTAAAGTTTTAATGAATGTTACATTTTTTAAAACATTTAAATCGTCACTCTTGAAAATTAACTGCATAAATTTAACCTGCACATGACAACTTAGTCATTTTCACTTTTAAGAACCCTTATATGTGGTTTTTTATATATTAACAGAGTTTAATCCCTATAACAAAGGCAACATACACATTAGTCAACATAATGTGTTTAAAAAGGTCATTGGAAATTAAAATTACAAAACGCAACTTTTTGAATTCAACCTAGGATAAACTTACCTGTTAACATGTACTGGAATGGGCACTACAAGTTTACTTTTCTGGTGGGAATTCTTAACTCCTTGGTGCGGTCCACTACCAAGGCCAGCCTTTACTCTTTTCCACTTCGCTCTTCGATTCTGGAACCAAATTTTAACTTGAACTTCGCTCAATCGAAGTGCAGATGCTATTTGACTTCGTTCTGTAAGCGAAAGGTATTTTTTCGCGTGAAATTCTCTTTCTAGTTCTAATAATTGCTCACTTGTAAACGCTGTACGTCGTCTGCGAGCTTTCGTGGCGGCTGAGCCTTCTGCTGAATGGGATTCATCTAAATCGTCATCTATATCCGAATTACCTGTAAATAAACAATATTTTAAATTATAAATATTTATAATGTATTAATAAATCATCATCAAGCGATTCTAAAAGGTAAACCTATAATTGGAAACAATTTCCAATTTTCTTTTGGTTGTAGAAAAGCATTTCACTATTGGTAAGTACTTACAGCACCATTAGTGAGTACAGCACCAGTGACAGTGGCGAAGCTCAAAACTTCATTAGATGAAGAGTGGAAAGCGATTCCTCAGGAATCAGTCAGAAACTTAATAAGGACCTTGTGGTATCTCGTGGAAAGTGTAATACAACTCTTTGTGAGGAGGAAATATTAAGCATTAATTTCGATTTTTGATGTTAGTTTACTTAAATATTCATTACATAGTGACTATTATTATTCATAACATGTTTTCTCGTATAAAATATTAAGTTGCCTTTGTTATTTTCTTTACTTACTAACTATATAAATATTGGTGTCATTGCAATAAAAATTAGGTCTGTTCACGATATTTTACTTTTAATTTTACATATGGATATACACTTTAACAGGGTAGTCAAAAAATATAACTAATTTTACTGTTGAGTCGATTTTTTTGCACACAAATTTATATCAACGAACAATTCAATATCTGAAATATTTTTTAAGATAGACCAGGACGGATCTGTGAAAAAACGACTAAATTTTAATGTAAGAGGTGGCATTCGGATTTTTGTGAAACTAGTTAGGTGATAACTTCAGTAATAGTAATCCCCTCTCTCAAATAGGTCGGAAACATTAAAAAAAAATAAAATATTTAAACATTACTAAAAACATCGACTATGAAGCATTTTTAGAAACAAAAGGTGAAAGTATTTTATTCTTGGAAATGGCTGAAAACTCAATTAGAATAAAAAAATAGTACATTGTTTACCGGGTAGGAAAAGCTTAACATTCCTGGACGACTGTGAAGATTGCTAAGTCGAGGCGCAAGCCGAGACTTAGCAACACAGAGTCCAGAAATGTGGCTTTTCCTACGAGGTAAACATACTATTTTTCCGCAAATCGTTTAAAATTCGACAGATATTGATTGATTTAAAAAAACGCGATAATTTTATTCCCAAATAAATGGTGCTTTGAAATTCCTAATAAAATTACTTGGGTTACTATGGAAACGTATTGAGGTTGAATTGTCAAACGTATGGAAACGTATTGAGGTGGCAAATAAAATTTTCACAGTATAAAATATTCAACAAAATGACGCTTCCACCCTGCATGCTGTTCAAAATGTTTCTCATAGTTCTAAGAGTGTTCCTCCAATGTTCAATAATTGTACTAACTGTCAAATTACTGTAAATATAACAAATTGATCTTAAAAATGTATTCAGCAATGACTTGATGTTTTCAAAATATAAATTAATTCCTTATAAGCAATGTGTTTTCTATCATTTATGTAGAACACTAACAACTGTACGAAAATATAATTTCCTTACAGTAAGGAAATGACATTTCCTTACAGTAAGGAAGTCCTGACTTTTTCTTCAAGAAATTTTGACAGGAATGTCAAAATTTCCTGGCGATTTGCGGAAAAGATAATATTTAATTTAAATCTTAAGTTTTAAAGCTACTGAAAATGAAATAATGTTAAAATTATTAAATTTAAATGTTAACTCAGTTAAAATTCTTGAATATCTTATTACAATGTAAATGTTGAGATTTTTTCTTCTACAACGATTTCATTTCTGCACAAGCTTTTAGAATAGCCCTCTTAAAATATAAATAATGTTAATTTTTAATTATTGCTTAACATAATATAAATAAAAACGCGTAGGTATGTCAGAGATACTCGCCGCCGATCTAGTTATTTTTGTGGGCGCGTATATCGAAAGATTAAAATAATAAATATACATTGTAGGACATTACTGATTAAACTTGAAATTAAAAAGGTAGAAAGAGAGTTTAGACACAACCAAAATAAATAATTTAAGAAAAGTAAGTCAACAAAAGAGAAGATCATATTTAGTGACACCCAAGTTTGTCAGAGTAAAAGTGAAGAATTGCACACCGCCAAAAATAAAATAATCGAGAGTTCAGCTAAATGTTTTAAAACACTCCTGTATATTCTAAGAATTACTGATGAAAACAGTTAAACAACCACTTCGAGCCTAGAAGAAATTAGCAATGCTGTAAAAACCCTAAAACGACCAATCCACAAGTATGAACAATATTGATAGTTTTTTTTTTTTTAGCTTTACGCTTCACGAGTTGTGTCTCGACGGCGTAGGTCGCTGACACAGGTACAATTTTATTACAAGAATATACAGTAACATTACAATCGATAAAGAAATACATTAAATACAGTAAATATTGGTACAATTAATAAGTACCTCTCAGCTACTCATTTAATTCGACATAAGCGAAAGCTTTGGCGAAGATATAAACTCACTGGTTCCCCTGATGATTTTCTCGCCCACCGTAATTTTTCTAACCGAGTCAAACAATCTTTGCTAAAGTTAAGAACAGAATTTGAGGAATCTATCATTGCAAGTGGTAATAGTAAAAAAGTTTATCGGTACATTCGTACATCTTTATCTTCTAAAGTCTCCATACCATTGCTTCAAAAAGCTGATGGGTCTTTATGTTCTTCGAATAACGAATCTTCGGAATGTTTATCGTTATTCTTTTCCCAAGTTTTTACAGATGAATCTAACGATACCAATCCTCAAATAATGTGCCCTCGTTTGTCTAAAACTCTTGACAATATATCTTTCATACCGGATGAAATTAAATATCATTTAAGGAAACTGCGAAATAATTCATCACCTGGATTAGACGGACTCACCTCTTTTTTCCTCAAACAATGTGCAGATTCTGTAGCCATCCCTATATCTCTCATAATGACTGCTTCTTTTAATCAAGGTTCCCTCCCCTCGTCCTGGAAATTGGCTTCAGTTACTCCTGTATTCAAGAAAGGTAATAAACTTGATTGCAATAATTATCGTCCAATCAGCCTAGTTCCTATTGTCAGCAAGGTCATGGAATCGATTATTTCGGAAGCTATGTCCGAGTTCCTTCTTCAAGAAAATGTCATCCCTCACCAACAGCATGGATTTATCAAAGGTCGTTCAACGACCACAAACTTACTTCATTGTGTAAATGATTGGTCATTATCTTTAAACAATCGGAATCCTGTCGATGTAGTTTACTTAGACTTCTCCAAAGCTTTCGATCGTGTTCCAAAACGTCGATTACTAGCTAAATTGGATCACTATGGTATCCGCGGAAAATTAAACATTTGGATACAAGATTTTCTATCCGACAGATACTTCAGGGTTCATGTTGGGGAAGACCACTCATTAGATAAGCCAGTCAAGAGTGGAGTTCCACAAGGATCAGTACTTGGACCGCTACTTTTTTGTGTCTATACTAGTGATCTTCCGCTCATTGTATCCAGTAAGGTTTCCATTTACGCTGATGACACTAAGTTATATGTGAATCCAACTATTAACCAACATATTCTTCAACAAGATCTTGACGCAATATTCAAATGGTCCTCAGAATGGTTACTTCCGCTTAACATTGAAAAATGCGTTGTTTTACATATCGGCAAAAATAACCCATCACTTCCGTACTTTATTAATGGACATCCTTTAAACTCTGTAACCTCACACAACGATCTCGGAGTGATAATTAATAGTGACTTAAATTGGTCTGATCACATAGTGTCGGTGTGTAAACGTGCTAACTCGAAACTGTTTTTGATTCGTAAGTGTTTTGCACGCATATCTCTAACCTCTTTTAGTAAACTTTACTCAATATACGTTAGACCTATTCTTGAGTTTGCCGGACCAGTGTGGAATCCAGATCTTAGTCGCGATAAAATTCTACTTGAAAACGTTCAGCGTAAAGCCACAAGACTGGCATATGGCCGTGTAAGACCTAACTATGAAGATAGACTATTCATGGCTCATCTTACGACATTCGAGCAGCGACGTCTTCGAGGTGACCTAATTATGTCCTTCCGTATTTTAAAACATAATTTTGGGAACCTAAACAACATATTTACTTTGAATGAAGACGATAGATTAAGAGGCCATCAATACAAATTAAAGAGGGAACAAACTACTGCAAGGTCCAGGGCGAACTTCTTGCCAAACAGGATCTTTAATATATGGAACAATTTGGATCAAAACACCATATCGGCAGCTAGTGTTAACATCTTTAAAAATAAACTTGACAGCACTTTATTTTTTTTATAGGATAGGATATTTTTTCTCGGACAGCATTATTTATTTATTTATTGTGTCACAATTCAATTTTCGTTAATTGTTTAACTACTTAACTTTATAATTAGTATTAGTTTTATAAGGATCTATTTTATTTTTGTTTATTTTTGCTTTTTGGGCATAATAGGAGCTCGCTCCTCTGCCCTTATTTGTTATATAATAATAATAATAATAATAATTATTAGTTATCAAATTTTAAACTACTTTTCTTCTAAATTTCCTGGTAAAGTCTAGTTTCATAGAGGAAATTAATAGGGTTTTGGAATTGATCTGGCGAGCTGAGAATATTTTGTGGGTTTCGACTTAAAAGATTATTTTTTCTGTTGTTGAAATCGGGACAGCCTACGAGAATATGTTTAACAGATAGAATATTACCACAATGTGTACATGTAGGCGCATCTTGGAAAATCATTAAATGTTTACGAGTTAGTCTTGTATGGCCGATTTTAAGTCGGCGAATTAAGATTTTGTTTTTTCATGTCATTAAGGGAAACTCAAACTTTTTAACAGTGGAATGGATATCACGAATCTTGGATGATATTTTGAAAATACGACTGTAAATCTGTATGTAGTTGCATGTTTTCGGTCTCCATGTTAGAAGACGCTGCTTGTTTTGGCTAAGAGGTCGGCTAGTTCGTTACCAGGGATTCCTACATCAGACGGAATCCAGACCATGGTTATTGATACTCCTTATGAGATTAAACTATCGAAAAAGTTTTGAATAGTTTGAACAAAAGATGTGCCGTGTACATACGTTTG